AAAAAGAAAAACAGAAAATAGGGTACCTCCATTAAAAATACCAAGAAAGCGGTTATTTGGAGGACGGATCCGGGACCGTCAGCCATCCCCTTTTCTCGGCGTTGCTTCGTGTCGCCCCGTTGGCGAGGCGTTTGCGAAACGAAAAGGTTGCACACCCCTCCTTGGGCGCGGCCAGGCAGGTCGATATGGGGAAGGCAATTCGTCAAGAGGTTAGCCACGTTGTGCCCATGTGGTACACAAAAACAAAGAGCGCGCGAAGGGGGGGGGGGGGCGACGGCTCAGGAAAGACTCGCTCGCATGCATCGCATGATCGAGCTGTATGAATGACGGAGAGAGCAAGAGAGAGAAAGGGCTGCGGTCATGCCGGTAGAGCGGCGGCCGTCACAGCAGTTCTCTCTCGGGACTCGCGTTCCAGTTCAAACGTGGCTACGAGGACGCAGCCAACAATAGGCATTGTAATGCAGTGGTATGCTGTCGAATCTCATCTGGAGCGTACGTTATGCAGGGAACATGACTGCTCCGGGGGCAAGGGAGGGGACTGACTTACTTACTCTCATTCTGTGTTCACTGGCTTTGGGGGGAGGGGGGGTGCGGAGCTGACGCTGTAGCACTGAGGGAGTAGCATGGGGAAGAAGACGGTGCGCAGCCAGAAGACGCCGCCGGGAGCCGTGCCCGCCATTGTGCTGTGCTGCGGGGGGGATGGATGCGGGAGCGAAATGTTGGCGTGGCATCACAGCCCATGGGCATCTCGTGCATGAACACCTGGGACAGCATGGTATAGACGGCCACGAGCCACATTCGTGCTCTTTTTACATACACACACATATGTATGAATGAGCATGGGCAACATAGCATGGCAGGGGCAGGTGCTTGACAGACATGAGTGAAGCAGAGAAGACGATGCCTGAAGCGATGGTGAAGGACGATAGCAACAGGTGAGAGGTAGGAACAGGCAAAGGGAAGGAAGCCTTCGCGCATGTGTGTATTGGGTGTGCAGGTGACAAGCAGAGGACGGCGGATGCGCTGTTCGTCCTCATAGAAGCAAGGGGTCCGGTTCGGTCCAGGTGGCGGTAACTCGTTGGCGGCGGCGGCGGCCTGCATTGCATTGCATGGCCTTGCATTGCATTGCAGCACATTGCATCGCATCGCATCGCCAGCACCGCCTACTCACCACCCCCAATGCCTACTCGAGCGCCATACATGTCCACATACATGTACAGTCGAGGGCTTCGGCGTGGCAGCGGTGCCGCGGCTCGTGGGTGGGCGGGTGCTGTCCCCGCCTGCAATTCGAGATTGGCTTGGGTTGGGTAGGCGCTGACCATGCACACGGCGCATTTCTGCGTGCAGACGCGCTCTGGCGATGCGGCCCCAAGGTCCTAGGTGCTGGAGCCCGACCTGTTGGACATCCGTGGGAGCATGCCGTGCGTTCTTGATGCCCCTCGAGGCTGACACCACATGGTGTGTATCACGTGATATGGTATTGTTGATCTAGGTACTGGACGATGCGCTGTGGTGAAGGCTTGTCAGCTGACTTCGCGCTACCGACGTGTTCGACCGGCCCGTCACTTTGGTCGCCAGCTGTCTCTGGATTCCTGAGCCACAGGAGGACGCGCCACAGACGCACAGCGCGTTTAGGCCTGCGTGATCAATGCCAACGACATTTCCCGAGCCCTTGATAGCCCGAGCTGGTGCGAACCGGTCCCTCCCTTTTATCTTTACATGTCAGTCTTCTCTGCCGACACAGCTGGCAGGGAACGTATAAAGAAAGAGAGAAACCTAGGAAGTATCGGAAATCAGCGCCATGCCTCAGCCACCAAACAAGCCTCTCCCTCCCTCGGCCCAGCCCAGGCTCGGCAAGGTCTTCGACCCTTGGAACTCGAGCAGCACCGGCCACCAGCGCCCCGACACAAGGCCTGGCCTCGGCTGGCGCGACAGCCGCAACCGCAAGCTGATGGGCCAGTTTCGCGCCGGGCACACGGGCGGCGCCCCGCGAGAGCGACACGCACGGCGCCGGCAGCGAGGACTTTGACCACGCCGTCGGCGCCGTCGTGCCCAAGGCCGTCAGGGAGAGGGCCAAGTGTAGCGTCCACGACATGTTGCTTGCGCCGGGACGCATGCGGGAGACACTGCCCCCCGCCGCCGCCGCCGCCGACGACGACAATGTCGAGCCGGTTGGGGGTCGAGGCAGGGGCCTCTTTGATGGCGTTGTCGTCTACGTCAATGGGAGCACGGCGCCCCTCGTCTCGGACCACAAGTTCAAGCGTCTGTTGGCGGAGAACGGCGCGCGCGTCTCGCTGCACCTCGGCGAA